TAAAGCCTCAAGTATATTATAATATTAAATTTATAAATGATGAACTATTGATATCACTATAGTTTTTTTTTTTTGACAAAATGTTAGCATATTTAGTGTTCACTCAAAGGGGTTTAAAATACTTAATATTTTATATCATTTATATGTTATCTTTGGGTATCCATCTAAATAACACAAAATAAACTATCAGTTTATAATTAGTAGAAAATGACTATGTTTTGGGTTAGTCTCAATTTTATAATTATATATATATTATTCCTTTATAAGTCTTCCTTAATTTTTAATATAGTTTAACTAACGTAAAATTTATCAGCTTGGGGTACTTTGGTAACTCACTATGTTAATAAATCTTAAGTCATAAAACTACGAAATCATAATTTATATAAAATATACATATATATTTACATTTATGAAACTAATTATAATTTAATATATACATAGATAAATTGTTAGTGCAATAATATGTTATATATATATATATATATATAAAATGTTAATGCAATAATATATAAATTGTTAATACGTTAATATATAAATAAACTATTAGAGCAATAATATATGTATATATAAATTATTAGTAATAATATATATATATATATAACTGTTAGTATAATATATATATATATAAATTATTAGTAATAAAATATATAAATATAAACTGTTAGTAGAATTTTAAGATGTGTGAATTCAACCTTACTTTGATACCAAATTAAGAAATTTTTATGTGAAAGTCATCTTTTTATTAAATTCAACACAACTTAAAAAAAGAAAAACAATAAAAAGTTAGAGCTACATATTATTCTGAGATGATGTAGCTATAATATGATTGAGAGACCCTCTAGAAAAAAAATTTCATTCTCTGACTTACTTATTCTCTCTATCTAATTATTATGCACAAAATTTTGTAATTTTAGTTTATGGAAGATACCTTAAACGGAAAATTTGTACTCATTTTATAGATGAGAAGAGATACCAAAGTGTAGCGCCCGGACCGAGAAGGAGGGAAAAAAAAAAAAAAAAAAGGGCCACGTCGGCAGCCACGTCAGCAGGCCCGGTCAGCAGTCGGGGCCTGCCACGTGGCAAGACCACGTCGCTCCGAAAAGGGGCTACGTTGGCGATCCGCGTGGGTGCGATCGGACGGCCCAGATCAATCGCGCGATCGGACGGCCTAGATCAATCGCGCGATCGGACGACCCAGATTCAATCAAAAACGAACGGCCCAGATTAAAACAAAATGAACGGCTGAGATCAAAAGGCAAGGGGTTATAAATAGAACCCCCAAACCAGACCACAAACCCTAGCCGCCTGCCGCTCGCCGGAGAAGACAAACCAGAAGCCGGCCGCCGCCACCCGCCGCCGCGCCGGGGAAATTTCCGACCGCCGATCGAGGTAAATTTCATACCCCCGACTCGTTTTTCCACGCTGATTCCTCTTGTGGCCAAATCGGAGCCAAAATCCCGGCCAAACGGCCGGAATACGCGGCCGAAAACAGCCAACTCGAGGCGACTCGCCGCCGCCAGCGGCGGCGCCGTCGCCGGAGCAAGGCGGAGCCGCCGTGCCGGAGTTGCGATTTGGGCCGAAAGGGGCCCTGGACCTAATTTGGGATTTTTTTGGAACACGTGCAGGTACCAGTAGTGCGTTTCAGTTCCCCGAGAAAAATTCAGGGAAAATTAGGGATAGCCTGCAAGCGCACTGCAAAGCCGTGTTCGGACCCCGAAAATGAGTAAGGACCCCTCACCCTATTTCCTATCACGGTATTAAAGTTCAAAATGATAAAACGGTATTTCTTGAATTAACGAATGTGTGAAATTGCTTAAGGTGGCTAATGGAGCCCGAGTCTAGTGTGATTGGTGATTTACTGTTATTTGGCCTGTTTACAGCTTTAAATGTAGTATGAGGTTTGATGTGTTTATTTTATAGTTTCGTGTGCATATATTACGTTTTTATTGGTTATGGGTTGAATGACTGAAAAACTGATACCGTATGTTGTCTGTTTGGCATGAATTACGATATGCTTGTTTAAAATGTGAATTGATAATGCTTACTGAGGAAGAGGAAAATGAAAGATTGTGTAGACTGATAATTGTATGATGGGGTCAGCCTGACTAGATATCCTGGGAGATGGTGGACGGACCGGGTCCGTAGGGAACCCTACCAGGATTGTGGTCTCACATGCCGGACGGGGTATGGAGATCTTATGTGTTTTGGCGCCCATACCGAATGGGGTATGGGGACGGCCCGTTTCACCCTCATACCGGACGGGGTATTGAGGTTTATGTTTTTGGCGCCCATACCGGACGGGGTATGGGGACGGCCCGTTTCACCCTCATACCGGACGGGGTATTGAGGTTTATGGTTTTGGCGCCCATACCGGACGGGGTATGGGGATGGCCCTGGAAACTGATTATGAATGTTAAAGGTTAACGGGTAGCGAGACCCCTATGGACCCCCATGGATACTAGTAGGCTGGTAAATAAGAAAAGGATATGTTGTATAATGATTGAATTACAAAAGGCGTGATAAGTACTATGTTTTACAGCTTATATTATTCCATGATTGTGATAATGTTATTGTTTTCTTATATTGTTTCATGAATTCCACCGAGGTAAGTGGATGGTAAAGATTTTATCATGAATAAAAGGATTTGTTGTAAATCATGCTCTATTGGTCTTTTGTGTTTTTCTACCCACCTTTACCTCCGTGACGGTGAGATATCGTGATGTTCTTACTGGGCTAGTGTAGCTTACTTCTTATTTAACCATTTCAGATCAGGAAGACATGGTTCCCGAGCCCGTTCCGCAGGAGGACGACGAAGGGGATGCTTAGAGATTCTGTAGTCATACTCATAGTTTTATTTTCGAGTTTCTCTTTTAGTTAGTTTAATCTTTTATATTTTAAGTACGTTTTTAGTTTTCGTGTAAGGGATGTTAACTGAAATTTTGATCTCGCTTCCGCATTTTATGTGTTTAAATACTCATTTCATTTTCACATTTCCGGGGTCGTTACACAAAGTACATTCAAAGTAATTGAATTTGTTGATAATATTTTATATTATTATAAATTAATACCCATAAAATACAATAATTCTGTAATTTATTTTAAGGTTACCTATTACAGCAAATGACATTTTCTTTTATAACAGTTATTTATTATTTTGGGTCTTTTTTATGTTGGTTTCAACCGTTATAAGTGGATAAAAAAATAAAACACTATATTAATAGTCATCTACTTAATTGCTGAAATTAAAATAAGATTATACTTTAAAAATCTTGGTGGGTTAATTTTGTTTTATTAATAGCCTTCAATTATGTTACTTGTTTATGAGGTCCACTTTGTTTTTTATCATATTGCACTATTGGAAACACATGAATCATTTCTTTCATTGTTAATCTTTTCTTTTTTCACATGTCCTTACTTAAATAACTATTGGAAACACATCATCCTCTTTTAGAAGTTATAATTATTTTTTTGTTATTTTAAAGTATGATTTAATTAGAATATACTAATATTTTTTTCTTTTATTTATGTTAGGTTTTTAAAATTAAGTTATACATTTTGAGCTATGAGTTAAAAAATTTGTGTAAAAGTAGAATGAATTGATAGTTACTAATAACTGTGGTTTTAAATTTTTACACATGAATCATTTCCTCCTCTCTTTCGTGTTTGTTAAGAGTCTCTTCCCAAACTTATATAAGAAAATAAATCTAGGGTTTATAAGTTTGATATTTATACTAGTTTCTTAAACGATAGTTTATATAAGCTTTATTAACTTAACATTTAATAAATTAATCAATTTTTTACTTATTTATTTATTATTATTTTGTTTATATATATTATATATTTTTTCGCTAGTTATTAGAAATTTAGATCATTTTTTCTGATTCTTCATCAGTTTAACCCACTCTTAAATTCAGTTAAATCAAATTTAAAATTAATAAGCACTTTTAAACATAATAAACTATTTCAGTTATAAGATTAAATGTGAATATATAATTTTATTCTATAAATAGAAATTAATAAAAAATACTTATTTTTAATCATAAAAATATAATATATCATTTCCGATGCTATTTATGTTACTTGATTTTTTACTATTTTATTATAGCTATGACTCACATTCTTTATATTTAACAGTGAACCTGTACATTAGAAAATAAAGGCTTTATTAAAGTTACTATAATTTTCAATGTCTAAAAAGCCATTTTTTTATATAAAAAAGAGCCATTTTTATATGAATAATTTAGGGTTTATGTAACTTAGTGAAGGGTAGTTTTGTCCAATCACAGGAAAATTTCATTATTTGGACGCGTTATAATAATAATTTGAGCTTTAAAATCGAGAAATCCGATTTTCTATTTCTTAGTATTGCTTTCCATAAAACGGCATCGTTTTGCAACGGCTGCTAGCTTCTGTATCAGATCGGGTAAAGTGACGGGCGTTGTGGTGGCCTCGCAGTTCACTTCAATTATCGTCTTCTGCTCGCTCGGTGATTTGCGTTTCTCTCTCAGTTGGCCGCATCTCCACCACCAAATACATCGCCACCAAATCGGTTCTTCATCTTTCTGAAACTCTCCTATCTAAGATTTGATTTCTCTCCTCAATCTGAAGGTAACTCTTGACTTTAGAATGCAGTTTTTAGTTTTTGTTACTAATGCTTTCTCTTATGAAATTAGTGATTGCCGCTGGTAACTGTTGGATTGATTTCTGAATCTTTGATTGCGATTATTCATGTCCTGCAAAATATTTTGGTGATGTTTTTGTAACATTATTCATGTTCTGTAAGGCTATTGAACGCAACAGAACTTCTGGTTGTAGTGCTACATAGTGAAAATTATTAGTTTTAATGAGATTTTACTTGAACGAGTCATGTCCTGTTAATTGAATTTTAGAAATAGTCATTTTATGTCAGAGATAACCGTTGGATGTATGAGTATGTGGTTTGAGTTGTTTAGGCATGCTCATTCTTTACAGTAATTAGGATTGATATATTTTTATTGCAATACGGTGTTTATTTGAGTGCTGCAATTATTATGAGGAATTTGATTAATGAATGTTAGATTTGTGTTTAATGAAAATTATTTGATCATATCTGTAAATATATATGCTCAATACAATTTCTTTGGGGATGAATTTTTTGTCTCGTGCTTTAAGGAAATTTTACAGGGCAAAAATGAGAAGAAAAGTATTTGCAATGAGCTCAATTTTGATCTCAAGCTTATTTGAACTTTAAAACAAGTCCAAGTTTGATATTGTTTGGTTTCTTACCAAGCTTGATTTAAACTGATCTGGAGGTTTTCATTTTTCTTTTTCATGTGGGCTGAGCTTGCGGCTAGAGAAAAGCTCCAAGCAAGCTTCCAGTTGAGCCTAGAGAAAACTATATTTTAACGAGCTGGGACTAGAGTATTAGTTATTAAGCTCTGCTCATTTTGTTTCCAACTGTAGCTGTTTTTAGTTGTAGCTGGATTTTTAAAATCATGTAACAAATGTTGTATTTATGCTATATATGAATTTTGTATCAGTTTTTAGATGGGTTCAGTAAACTGATTTGTTTCTTTTTGTTTGAATTTTAGATTTATGTTCTTGGCTTCTTTTCTCTGCTTTTAAGCACAGAATGGGGTGTTTCAGTGAAGAAAAGCTCAGGTTTTGCATTGATAGAGGGGGTACATTCACTGATGTTTATGCTGAGATCCCTGGCCAGCCTGATGGTCGAGTTCTGAAGCTTTTATCTGTTGACCCAGCAAACTATGATGATGCTCCAGTTGAAGGAATTCGAAGAATTCTTGAAGAATACACAGGGGAAAAAATCCCACGAACATCAAAAATCCCAACTGATAAAATACAGTGGATTAGGATGGGTACAACTGTGGCAACTAATGCACTGCTGGAGAGGAAAGGTGAAAGGATAGCTTTGTGTGTCACTCAAGGCTTTAAGGATTTGCTGCAGATTGGTAACCAAGCTCGACCAAACATCTTTGACCTCACAGTATCAAAACCATCAAATCTTTATGAAGAGGTTATAGAGGTTGATGAGAGAGTTCGGCTTGTGCTTGAGGATAAAGAATGTGAAGATCCTTCATCTGTATCTTGTGGAGTTTCTGGTGAGCTTGTTAGGGTTGTGAAGCCACTTGATGAAGAAGCTCTGAAGTCTTCATTAACACAGCTGCTGGAGCAAGGGATTAGCTGTTTGGCTGTTGCATTAATGCATTCATACACCTATCCAGATCATGAAATTGCGGTTGAAAAGTTGGCTTTAGGATTGGGTTTTAAACATGTTTCTTTGTCTTCTGCCTTGACTCCTATGATTCGAGTTGTGCCACGGGGTTTAACAGCATCTGTAGATGCCCATCTTACCCCAGTAATTAAAGAGTATTTATCAGGGTTCATATCCAGATTTGATGAAGGACTAGGAAAGGTGAATGTCTTATTTATGCAATCGGATGGAGGACTTGCACCAGAAAATAGGTTTTCAGGGCACAAAGCAGTTTTGTCTGGTCCTGCAGGTGGAGTTGTAGGCTACTCACAGACTCTCTTTGAACATGAAACAGACAAGCCTCTAATTGGTTTTGACATGGGTGGTACCTCAACTGATGTAAGCCGTTATGCTGGCAGTTATGAACAAGTCCTTGAGACACAGATCGCTGGTGCTATTATACAAGCACCTCAACTTGACATAAACACTGTTGCTGCTGGTGGTGGATCAAAGTTAAAGTTCCAGTTTGGAGCTTTCCAGGTAGGACCTGAATCAGTGGGTGCGCACCCAGGTCCAGTCTGCTATCGGAAAGGAGGGGAGCTGTCAGTTACAGATGCAAACCTGATTCTGGGGTTTGTGATTCCTCATTACTTCCCATCCATCTTTGGTCCCAAAGAAGACCAGCCCTTGGATATCAAGGCTACTAGAGAAGAATTTGAGAAGCTTGCAGAACAAATAAACTCCTTTAAACGGAGCCAGGATCCACTTTCCAAAGACATGACAGTGGAGGAGATTGCATTGGGATTTGTAAGTGTAGCTAATGAGACAATGTGTCGTCCTATACGGCAATTAACTGAGATGAAGGGCCATGAAACAAAGAACCATGCCCTTGCTTGCTTTGGTGGGGCTGGACCACAGCATGCTTGTGCAATAGCTAGGTCACTGGGTATGAAAGAGGTTCTTATTCACAGGTTCTGTGGGATTTTAAGTGCTTATGGCATGGGATTGGCAGATGTTGTTGAAGAGGCACAGGAACCATATTCTGCTGTTTATGGTCCAGAGTCTATCATGGAGGCCTCTCGCAGAGAAGCTCTGTTACTGAAGCAGGTGAACCAGAAGCTGCAAGGGCAAGGGTTTAAAGAGGAAAATACCACAACAGAGACATATTTAAATCTAAGATATGAGGGCACAGATACAGCAATCATGGTAAAGAGACAAATAACAGAAGATGGATCAGTAAGTGACTATGCCACAGAATTTGTTAAGCTGTTCCAGCAGGAGTACGGATTTAAACTTCAAGATAGGAAAATTCTTATATGTGATGTAAGAGTACGTGGTATAGGTGTTACAAATATATTGAAGCCACGGACCTTAGAACGAGCACTCAATATTCCTAAAGTTGAAGGCTATGACAAGGTTTACTTTGGGAATGGATGGCATGAGACACCATTATTCAAGCTTGAGAATCTGGGCTATGGGCATGCCATTGCTGGTCCTGCAATCATCATGAATGGAAACAGTACAGTAATAGTAGAACCTAACTGTAAATCTATCATTACTAAATATGGTAACATTAAAATTGAAATTGAATCTGCTTTAAGCACTGTGAAAGCTGCAGAAAATGTTGCAGATGTTGTGCAGCTTTCTATCTTTAATCATAGGTTCATGGGGATAGCTGAACAAATGGGACGAACCCTACAAAGAACTTCTATATCAACAAATATCAAGGAGCGACTGGATTTCTCTTGTGCTCTTTTTGGTCCCGATGGAGGACTAGTTGCCAATGCACCCCATGTCCCAGTGCATTTGGGAGCTATGTCTAGTACAGTTCGCTGGCAACTAAATTACTGGGGTGATAATTTGCATGAAGGAGATGTTTTAGTGACCAATCATCCTTGTTCTGGAGGGAGCCATCTTCCTGATATAACTGTGATTACACCTGTATTTGATAACGGGGAACTGGTGTTTTTTGTGGCTAGTAGAGGCCATCATGCAGAGATTGGAGGTATTACACCTGGAAGCATGCCGCCTTTTTCAAAGTCCATATGGGAGGAGGGAGCAGCCATAAAAGCCTTTAAGCTTGTAGATAGGGGAGTTTTTCAAGAAGAAGGAATTATCAAACTTCTTCAGTTCCCATATTCTGATGAATCAGCTCAGAAAATCCCAGCAACACGCCGACTTCAAGATAATCTGTCAGATCTTCGGGCACAAGTTGCTGCTAACCAGAGAGGAATTTCCCTCATCAAAGAGCTTATTGAGCAGTATGGTTTGGACACTGTCCAGGCATACATGAGCTATGTTCAGCTCAATGCAGAAGGAGCAGTGAGAGAGATGCTTAAGTCTGTAGCTGCTAGAGTTTCCCCTCAGTCGGCAAAGCTTGGAGAGAGCAATTGTATAACTGTTGAAGAAGAGGATTACATGGATGATGGCTCTGTTATTCATCTCAAACTTACAATTGATCCTCATAAAGGGGAAGCAGTTTTCGATTTTAATGGGACAAGTCCAGAAGTTTATGGAAATTGGAATGCTCCAGAAGCAGTTACTGCTGCGGCAGTCATATACTGCATTCGCTGTTTGGTGGACATTGACATTCCCCTCAATCAAGGTTGTTTAGCTCCTGTCAAGATTCATATTCCAGAAGGCTCACTCCTCTCTCCAAGTGATAAGGCTGCTGTAGTGGGAGGAAATGTTCTCACATCTCAAAGAATAACCGATGTTGTACTTACTGCATTTCAAGCATGTGCATGTTCCCAGGGTTGTATGAATAATCTCACGTTTGGGAATGATAGTTTTGGATATTATGAAACAATTGGAGGTGGGAGTGGGGCTGGTCCCAGCTGGGATGGAACTAGTGGAGTCCAATGCCACATGACAAATACCCGAATGACTGATCCAGAGATTTTTGAGCAAAGATATCCGGTTCTTTTGCATAAGTTTGGGCTTAGAGAGAATAGTGGAGGATTGGGATTTCATAGAGGTGGTGATGGATTGGTAAGGGAGATAGAGTTTGTGGGTCCAGTTATAGTGAGTATTCTATCAGAGAGGCGAGTTCATGCACCACGAGGATTGAATGGAGGAAAAAATGGGGCCTGTGGAGCTAATTACCTTATCACAAAAGATAGAGGAAGAATCTACCTTGGAGGTAAGAATACAGTGGAGGTGAATGCAGGTGACGTTCTTCAGATTTTAACACCGGGTGGTGGGGGATGGGGTTCTCTTTGATTCTTTATTAACAGTTTGTAGCAAAAGCAATAGAACAATGAATGTTATTTTTTGCTGTGGTTAAAGCTGTCATACGGTCAATTGACTTTATGGAACTGTGGATCTCAATATCTGGAATATTTGATTTTTGTGTCAGCTTTGAAGAGAGGTCTTACAACTGACTCAACGGAGTTCATTTAATCTGACTTATGCCAAGCAACTTTGGCATTGTTTTTCCATTATTGTTTAATAATCTCTCTCTCCATCCATGACGAGAAAGAATGTTGGTTTAATTGGGGATTGAAAAGGATGAGGGATAGCAATTCACCCTTTTTGTGATACAACATGGAAAGAAGTCAACATGAGTTTCTCCTCCATGATAAAACAGGTGCCTTCTGTGCCTACTTGCTGTTTTTTACTTCGTAGTCTGCTTTGGCATATTACCATTGGATACAAAATAAGCATAAAGTTTCTGAACCATTGAATTAAAAAGAGAGATTCTCCTCCTTTCTCCATGATTTAAAGCAAACAGAGAGGCTATCAATTTTTTTTCTCCCTGCAAAGATGAAGCTTCTTGCTGTGCACCGCCAGTAGCTGAGAGTCAAAAACTTTATACTTTTGGAGGGAGAATTCCATGAAATGTAAGAGCTTTATGAGCATTGTCTTTTATTCAAATGTTAAAGTGCTCTGCGTTATATAAATTTAGTTTATTAGGGCTTAGCACACTGGGTTATTGATTGTGTTCTGGGTTAAAGATTCTTAATTTTTGAGACCTAAAATGCATTTATTTTTATCTGTTGTCCAATTTAGTGTTTTTTATTTAAAAAATCTCTCTCTTCTATACTTTGTTGAATGTACAAATTGCTATTATCTGGTGGTTTTTTATGAGGGAATTTGGAAGGGAGGTTATTTCGTTTCTCTTTCTGCTAATTTCTTTTCTTTTCTTTTCTTTTTCTGCCTCTCCAACATTGGCCTTCGTTTTTTTTTTCTTTTTTCTAAAACATCTTCGCCAAAGATGGAGAAGCAAAGTATCATCATTATGATTAGAGGAATTAATTTCTGACTGATGTTTGAGTGTAATCTTTCTCTGGGGTAACTCTGGTGTGCATGTTATTTCAATATATCTTTAATTGCTCAATGTTCTGGCTAAGTAGCTCCAGGTCTGTAAATCATATAATTTTATGATGTATTCAGGAGAAACATATAGTTTGTCCAAATATTTTTGGAGCGTCCAATTTTATATAATATTCAGGTTGCATTATTATTGTTATTACTATTAATTATTGAGATTTCTGTTTATCTTTGGGAAAAATTGCATTAGTTTTTAAGTAGATTGAATTAATGGTTTGCAAGTTTTTGGACGTTTTGTATTTGTTCATGTCCTTGGGTGTTAAGACGGATTTGAGCTATAAATAATGTTGTTTTAAGTGGTAATTAAGACCAAAAATAGCTCTCAGTTTAAACGGATGATTGACATTGAGAGATGAAGCCATGATGAAATTGACCTGTAAATAATCAGAATGTTGATTTTGCACTAATGGTGATTAGTTTTCATGTCTTTTCTTTTGAGTTCTGCTTAATTATTGTTATTTTTGTTGTTGCTAGTTTGAAGATAAGAATTTAATGCAACAAAATTGCTTTGCAAATCTCTTGCTCTAATCTGATTCGACTGAACCCAGACATGCAACCTCTCCAACGTTTTCCCTCATTTCCAAATTCATGCAGCCTCTACTTTTCCTGAATATATGTATACATATATATGCTTACCTCCACAACTTGATTGCTTCTGGGGTAATTGATTGGCATCTACATACACACATACAAACACATGTATATCAAGCTTTTAGTTATAGAGTGGTCCTTGTATCTTATTTTCAATATATGTTTGTATGTACATAAGCTTATATGTCTCTATGATGTAGGCAGGTTAACTAATAATATGTGCTCCTTACCGTAACTTTTATATATTGTTTTGTTTTTTTTCTCAAAAAAAAAAAATATATATACAGTTTAAAGTACATATTATTGCTTATTGTAAATAATCATTATTTAAATTATTTATATGTAATCGGATTTCAGCATTTGATTTGATGTAAAAGATTTATTTTGAACTTCTCTTTCAATAAGCAAGTATACTCAAAGATACATTTTTTGGACTTCTCCTAAAATGAACACTTTGGACTTCTTGGAAGTGAACATTACAACACTATATTAATTTAATTTTAAAAAATACAAAATAATCAATTAAACGCCAAAACACAACTACTGTTATTGTTTAAGTGAGCGAATAATTTATTTAATTGTAAACTAAATAAATTATTTGTCGAAACGACCATAATTTATTAAATAATTTACATCATTGATCACGAAATGATAAGTTGAGTGTGGAATATATACACTATCAAATAATCTTTACATATCACACAAATATTTCACCTTTATCATCACATTATAGTTAAACAGATAGAATCTTAATATATTTGAATCATCTCTTACAATATATGACTCAAGACATAAGTGATAAATGTCTAACATTCATGAAATAAAATCAATCACTTATGACAATAGAAATGAGTATCAACTTGAGATTAACAATATGAAAGAGAAAAAGCTATTAGGTAAGTAGATGCAAGAAAATGGAGAAGAAAGAGTGACAACCAAGCAAGCATAAAGAGAAAGCCACATTGAAGAAAAATGACAAGATAAAAAATTTGTAAGTTAGTTGGAATATATTGATTGGTTTTGGATTGTTGTCAAGGCTTAAAAGGTAGAAGATAAAAGTAGTTTGTGGGGTTTGAATAGCTTGGTTCTTTAGAAGCACAAATGGGCCTTCTTTTGCTTTCATTTGTATGTATAGTTTATATATATGTTTCATATAATTGATTTTCATTTTAAGCTGAAGCTATCAATGTTTATGTACAAACTTAAAACTTAAATTTTTCTTATGGAGTAGTGAGTCAAATCAGAATCATATTTCTATTTATTGTTACAAAAAAAAAAAAGTGAAATAATAATATATATTATTCTTATTATTTCAATAAAAGTAAGACAATCTGATAATAAATCCTGTCCGTTGGTGATGACTGATAGAGCCTAATATTTAGGCCAACCATTTGATTGAAGGTGGTGGATTTATTATACAATTTTAGTTTATCTTTCGAGTGGGGCCCATCTATCACCTATAATTCAATTAAAACAGAAGTAGAGGATATACTTTGTATTCTAGTGTCACCTCCAATTATGCGCATGTCACAACTAATTGTCACATGCATTATTAACTTTATATATATATATATATATATGTATATCTTTCTAGCATAATTCTCAATCAATTTCTTCAAATAAAAATTTATAGGATCACAAAAATCACTTGGGTTAATTTTTTTTTTTTTTTGAAAAACTATATTCTTTATTTTTTAATTGTTTAAATTTAATATTTTCTTTTTGAAAAAAAAAAAAAAACCAACACAACAAGGTTTAACATGATTATGTAATTTAATCTCAAATAAAAAAAAAGTTAAATGATTTTTTTAAAGAAGTTTGCAGGTTGATTATTATTATTTTTTGATAAAATAAAATTATAATAATTTTTTTTTGGTGAGAATAAAATAAAAACTACAATAAAGTTGTAATTAAACTATGTTGTTTAATTCACAACTGAAGATGATTTATTATAATGTTATTGTTATGTTAGCATATGAGGCTGGAATAAGATTATAGTAAGTTATAAATGAATATTATTCATTTGTAATTAATAACCAAATTATTTACATAAAATGAAATTTTATCTCTTTAAATAATATTTGTTGACAAAATTTTACAACATAAAAAATTAATAAATCTTTCTCTTAGAAACTAATAGAATTTTATTTAAAATGATAAAATAACTTGCATACTTTATTTATTAACAGATTAAAAGTATAACAATTCATAATCCTTTAACACCAACATTCCTTATTAAAATATATTCTAAAAGAATGCAATAACAATTTTATTATAATTCTGTTAAATTGGATATAGTATCATAATAGTATACTCTGAAAAATCAAATAATCCATTTCAAGTCACCTGCATGACATAATATTTTATTATAGTAAATTTAATATTCGAGTTTTTAAGTAAATTTAAGAATTTTATAGGATTTGTTTGCAATTTTAAATTTTATTTAATTAACATAAAAATTATTTTAAAACAGTAAAAAATTATTTTTTAAAATTTCTGTCAATTATATATATACATATCTATTTATTGTTCTCTACCATTTTTCTTTTTACTTTAATTTTTTTTTTTGTTTCATCAACAAATGCCAGCGTCCAAATTTTTGGCCTTACATGATGTTTGGTAAGGCCAAACTTTTCTAAATCGATTTGATTTTGTTATCCTTAACTAAAAAACAGAATTCTTTATTTATTAATATTTTCTCGATATTTGAGTTAAAGTTTATGAGTCTCATCTCGATATACGTGTTCTTGGTGAGTAGGTTCGGGTCGAGATATCTCATCTCTATTTATATATTTTAGAGATTAAATAAGTTTAATTGGAGGATGATGAAGATATTCGGTGGTAGAGTTCAAATATCAAGATTCTTTAGTATTCTTATCACCTTGAATGCTAATGGTTGGTTTTCATGAAAAGTGACATTCATGGATGAAATTCAAATGGTAGGGAAGTATTGACGTATTACTTGGTGAGGTATTTAAAACTCAAGGACTCGAGAATGCATTCTATTAATAAGGTAAGTTATAGTTAGAACAACATCTTCTCAGAAAAAATTTTGAAATTTGAGTTGTGAACATAAAGGACTAGAAAACTCCCAAGAGATGCTTATCCTTCATTTCCGTTATCCCATTATATTGAGGGGTATTAATATATAAAATTTGATAAATAATTCCCTTTTTTAAGATACATACAAAACTCTTTTTTAAAATATTCTTTTGCATTGTCTATCTTCAAGACTTTTTTTTTTGTTTAAAATTGAGTTTGGACTATTTTGTTGAATTTATGAATATATGATCAAATTTTGATGCTTCTCTCATGAGAAATAGCTACGTAATTCTTGTATGATCATCTACAAAGAATTTAAACCATCTAGTACTAGTACTATTGTTGATTCTAGATGATCCCTTAACATCATTATTTACTATAACAAACGATTTAGAGATTTTGCAGGATAATATGGGATATACGGTATGAATATATTTTGACAATTGACATACTTCATAGTGGAGGTTTTTTAAAATTTTATTTCTAAATGAAGAAGGAAACAATTTTTAAAAGTATACAAAATTTGGGTGTCCAAATCAATAATGTAATAACATAATTGTATTAAAATTGTTTAAATAAGTTGGATTGCATTGAGACTCAACTTATACTATATTATGAGATTGTCTCCTGAAATATCCATTATCCGTGAAGAGAAAGAGCTTGAAGTATATCTTAGCATTGTCAGTCATCTTCCTTGAATCAAAATCCTGAAATTCACATAAGTTTAAGGAAAATTTAGCAATGCAATAGTAATCTTGAGTGTGTTTGCTTATTGATAATAAACTGCAATCTAGATTAGGGGTGAGTTTGCTTATTGATAACAAATTAAAATCTAGATTAGGGGTGAGTTTGCTTATTGATAGCAAATTGCAATCTAGATTAGGCACATGAAGTACTTCATTTAAGGGTAGCTTCTTTTAAATGGAAATATCACATATTCTAACCACTATTGAGTGAGATCTATCTATTATTTTTATAATAGGTCCTCTTAGCATGGATTATATTCTTAGAATAATTTTAATTTCTCGT